TGAAATCAGTTTACCTAATCCTTTATTTTGCAGGTTCAAATAAAAAGGAGCTAAGTTGTCATCTATGCTAGTCTCAATTCTAGTTTTGATTTTGCTTAAACTACCATGTTGTAACATATTTACACCATACCTTAGATTCTTAGGTCTAAAGTAATTAAGCCATTGGCCAATATATTCTACAGAAGGTAATAGATGTGTATTATTGTTTTTTAAATAATATTTTTTTCTATTTTGTTGATACAATAATTTTTTATTTTTTCGCCAATTTTTTGATATGTATATTAATAATAGTTCTGAGTTTTTAGGTTCTAGTTTTGTATTGCTTTCAGTTTTTTTGGTAATTTTGTTAGTTATCATTTCTTTTTTATTGCCTTTTTTAGCAAGCATCCTTTGCTTGCTACCTAAAGACTTGCTGCTTTTAGGTATATTTGCTTTTGGACCTCGAAGCGTATCAGCTGTTGAGATATATTTATCAGGATAATGTGTTTTCATAATTTTTTGCCATGATTCAAAAATGCTAGAAGGTGAGCTAGGTAAAAACTGGCGACCTCGAAAAGCATGTTCTAATGTTAAAATTGCCGTATTATATGTTATATTTTGTAAATGTTTTTTTTTCAGATCTAATAAAATTCCAATATAACTTGGAATCCCTTTTACAAACCAAACATGTGTTGTTGGAGAAGCTAATTGAATAAAACCTAACTGTGTACGTCGAATAATAGAATAGGTATATTCAACATCACAAACACGGCAGAAATAACGTTTTTGTAGTTTGTTAACTAAATTATTTTCAAAAAGTGTGCTTTCTTTTTTTGTTATTTTTGATATATAATTTTTTATATTAAATTTTTTTCCACAAGCGCATTCATGATCTTTTAATGGGCCAAAAATACGTTCACAAAATAAACCACCTTTTATAGGTTTTAAAGTTTTATAATGCACTGTTTCCGGATTAATCACTTCCCCTACAACTTTTCCATTAGGTAATGTTTTTTCAGCCCATTGACGAATACGATTGGCTGATGCTAA